CTTTCGGCTTCTCTGCTCAGTGCCGTGTGGCGTTTGGGACGGGAATCTGGTTTCCAAGAAACTTCTGAGTTGTGACAGTCCGGACAACATCAAGACCTCGCTTGCAGCCTCCTGCAGAACCGAGGAATTGCTGGGCTCAGCATTTTGTCCTGGGGCAAAAGAGCAGCTTGAGATGTGGACTCTGCTCGGGAGCGAGAACCTTCAACACCAGGTTACAGGTTCTGAGCCTGGCTCCCTCCTGTTGAGGAAACAGGTAGAAGCATGAGCGCTCCCCACTAAGCCACAGCAGATTCGTTTCCCCTCCCTGCGCCAGGCGCAAACCAACCCAAACCCCTCTTGTCTGCACAGCGAAGTGGGAAGAAGGTCTGTCTGGGCTGCAAACAAGGGAACAGCCCATCAGAAGTCAAAGGATGAAAGGGACTGCCTTGTCCAGAAATGACACCCGCGGAGACACGAAGAGCAACACTTTAATAGCTGTTTACCAACTTCAGCTTGAGCTGGTTAGCGTAAACCCTGCAGACATCCACTGGCAGGCACGGATACATATGCGGCGTGTTAAAAGGCACAGACAAACAAGAGCGGGGAAGAGGCAGGGAATTGGGGATGTGCTGGCACCACTCCTGGAGCAGCAGCTCCTTCTGCTTTCTTATATTCAGTACTCAGACGCCCCGCCGCCCCGCAATTAAAGGGGCGACGCGAACGCCAGCCCCTGCGGTGGCTTTGTCCCTCCAGCCATCCTGGAGAAGCTGGGAGGGAAGGAGATGGACTGAGGGAAATAGGGTTTTCCTCTTTTCCCATCTCTTGGCTTTGTGCTCTGGGGGGGTGACGGTTCCTTGGCTTCCCATGAAGAAGTCGCTTCTCTCGCTCCCATGGGTCTCTGGTTCTGCGCTGGGGAAGAAATGGTACCTAGGAGACACAGTGAAGTAAAATAGAAAAATAGGAGTGGAAAGGCACTAGAAAAACAGCAGAAAGGCTCTGGGCAATGGGAAGGTCTCAGTCTGCCATTATTTGCAGCTCTATTTGGGAAGTTTTAACAGCTCGTCACTGTACAGACACGAGCTCTCACTCATGCTAACACACCCAGAAAAGCTGATCAAACTAATTAATATGTAAGCAATGTGTCAAATGCAAGGCTTTATTTTTCGCAGGCAAGCGTGGTCTTGTCTGAGCCCTGAATACATTGTGATCTATTTTTTCCCCTGCCTGTTCTGCAGGGTGGGTCCTTCATGCACTCGTTTTTCCATCATGACAGCCTTCTATAGCTTTTTGGAACAGCTCCTCCAGTTCAGGGACAACTTTAATTCCGAAGTGACATTTTCTTTGCCTGACCATACCACTTTCGAGCCAGATCACCGAGGGTCAAAGTCTGTGCTTACACTGCGAGCCTGGACTGGGACATGTGAAGTGGCAACAGAAGCTCCACATGGCTTTGGACCATGTTGCTGGGTGCAGCATGGGCTTAAAGCATCCATGCTGGCCCTGTAGGCTCTGGAGGGCAGGAGAGGATGCCCTAGAGGCATGTCACTGTAGATCACATCAGCAGCCCTCTTGGGGGGGGTTTCCTTGCCCCGGTGCTTGTTCCCATCCACCAGCCTCCCAAACTCCTTGGTGTGCAGAACCATAGCTCCCTCGCAGGCTCACATTGACCAGCTCAGTGATCAGGGTTTTTCTGGCCAAATCCAACTTGAGACAGTGTGGGCTCCTAAAGAAAGTTGAGAGGCAGTGGCTGAATGGTGACCACCTCCTTCCTGCTGTCCCCAAGAGTCTAAAGCTATCTGCAGCCTCCTTTCTCCGAACATCTTCAGTGTCCCAGTCCTCTATTAAGCGGCTCAGGTCTTCAAGCCAGTCCTACTGGAGCCCTAATTAGCTGGCCTGGGTAATTGCACTGCCTCCCTCAGTTACAGCAGATCGTCCCCAATGGACTCTGCACCCCACTGCTGCTGTGGGCCTGGGGCTGCTGTGCTGGGCTCTTCCCACTGAACTACGGGGCCACCTGGCAGCCACCTGGGCTTGACGCTCCAGGTTGTCCCCAGCCTCTGTAGCAATATAAACCCAGTGCTGCAGAGTCTGCTGGTGGGGAGATGGACAGGGGCCTGTAAAGGGAAGGTGGTGGAGAATCTGCTCTGGCTGCAGTGCCTTCTCCAGTGTTATTCCCACCTGTCCAAGAGGAGGGTCTGCCATGTCCAGGCCTGGCCACACCCATGTCTGTGTGAAGTGTCCACCAAGAGTCAAGGCAAAAAAAGGTCACTGAAAGGAGGATCTGGTGCTGGCCAGGCAGGGTGCCAGGCATGGGTCGCCTTGTCTCATGCACACTGTTGGCTGCTCTTTACCTAAAACATCCAGTTAACACATAGCTATCTCAGTGATGCCAGGGGTGTTGAGTCTTGTCCCCACCTTACTGGGGGACTTGCAAAAATGTTATCTGAGGCCTCAACATGCAGTAACAGGAGTGAGCATGCTGAGCCTTTAATGAGCAGTATTTTCTTCCCCAAGTGTTGAGGGGACAGTGGAGTTCGACTGTGACAGACCAGCAGACAGGCTTGGACCAGCGTTCTCACCAATGTCTCCCATACTTGAAGAGGTCATCCATGGAGTTACTTCTGCGCATCCATGATGCTCGCCAAGGAGTGAGCTGAGCAGTGCTTTCCAAGGCATTTCTTTAAATCTAGGGTAAAATTCACCTCCTGGAAATAATACCCCCACACTCAGTGGAGCTGGACGGGGATAAAACAGCTGTGAGGGATAGATGTGGACCTGCAGGAATCAGACTGTGGGATGAATCCACAGCTGGTGTAAATAATTATATACTGAACCTCAGTGTCCTGCAAGAGCTTGTGGCCCTGCTGTCCCCCGGGCCAGGCCAGCACAGCCCATGCCACCGCCTTTCTCAGGCCCTGTATTGGGCATGTTGCAACATGTGCACTGCTCCTTGTCGTGATGTATGTGACAGGGACAAAAGTCCTGGCAGATCCTGCTCCTCGCCAGAGCCGTGACATCTCTCCTGTTCTCCTCCACTCTGGATGCTGGAGAAGACCCCATCTGCCAGATGTGAGCTCTGCTCCTGGCATCCCCCCTCCATCTTCCAGGAGATGCAAGCTCTGCTCCTGGCATCTCTCCTGCGGCTCTGATGGGTTCCTGGAGCCCCCTCGTGGCTCCTACCACTGGCGAAGTCCCACCAAAGCCATCCTTGGGGAGCTGCTGCTGGTATCAAGGTATCAGGTCCACAGCACCCTGCTGCAGGTTCTTTTTTCAGCCCCAGTGCTAGGGAGATGGTGAGACCCGCCTCGGGGATGTCGCTGGCAGGCGACAACAGAGACACTCAGGAATCTGAACAGATCCGACAGTCCCATTGTAAATCCAGCTCCTTGCTTTGTGAGCTTTGGGATGAGACAAGTCCTTTGAGGCTTTGCTGTCCCCTGCCCTCGGAGTGTGCTGCACAATGTGCTGTGGTGGTCCCAGGTGGAGGTGCCCCAGGCCTGGAGGGATGGAGAGGAAAAAAGTATGGGCATGGAAAAAGGCTGATATGTGACAACAGGGAGAAGAAGGCACATGGAGATGGGGAAGGGGGGATACACAGAGATGCGGAAAGAAGGGTGATGGCAAAGGGAGGCTCTGCGGAGAAGAGGGGCTTGCAGCTCGCAGGCAGCGTGCACAGCAGTGGTGAGTGGGGGGAGTGTTGCTGCTGGGGTGGTGGGGATGTGCGTGTGTCCCACGGGGCCCCACGTGCCACTAGACGGTACCTGAATCTCTGCTGTGGTGGCAGGGACAGCGGCCCCAGTGCGGAGCGGCATGGGGGTCCTGGGGTCCCAGGGCTGCTCGGGGAGCACGGGGCTCTGAGGGGCTTTCAGAACTGCTCCTTGCAGGTGGTTCCCATGGGTAATTCTGCCAGGTGGGCTTGATAAGGAGGAGTTTTAGAGGTGGGATGGCTTTTTGTGGCAGATGAGTGGTACCCGGCTTTCCCTCCTTGCCCCTGGGCCATGCTGGCCCTCCTCTGGCATTTGCCCTGTGTTGGGCTCACACCACAGCCCTTTGCAGAGGTAGCTTGCTGAGGTAGCACGCAGCATCGACCAGAAGGTACCTATAAAGAGTAATCTAGTGCACTATCAGCACAGCCCAGTGGCTATTTGCAATAAATCGATGCTTTGTTTGGCTGCAAGAGAAAATCAGATCCATAATGCTGTGGATGGAAATGCTGAGCCCTCTTTTTCCCCTTTTTAGTCCCACCCTCTGCCCCTACGTGCACACCAGCGAGACGCACCCTGACTATCAGAGCATCTTCATGACTGATATAAGATGATCAGGATTGTTTCAGCAACCTGGCATTTCCTCCTCTGCTGAGACCGGGGGATGCTTGGGGGAGCCCAAAAGGGTGCATGGAGGAAAAAATACATATAACACTGAAACAAAACCAGAGAAATCAAAATGTTGTGTCATATATTGGCCCAGTCAAATATATCTTCTCTTACTGCTGGGTCACAGCCACTGCATCACTGGTTCCTGACAACTCTCAGTGCTGTGACTTTGTGCTGGTATTTAACCATGTGTGCTGGCCCTGACTTTGATGGTATTTTGGCATTGCTTCCCATTGTATTTCACTGGGAGGGAAGCCCCTAAATGCTTTTGAGAGTGTGAGATTTGAGTTGCTGAAGCACCGTCCACCATGATGGGACACAGGCTTGGCTGTGCCTATGCCACAGTTGAAGGACAGGCCCAGCACCTGTGAAGGGTTTAGGCATTTAGTACCCACAGGGCAGGCAGCAG